TTCTAACACAGCCCTTCAAAATAAAAGAAAAATGATTTATGGAGTCACCTAGTGGCGTGGAAGGAGTGAGTCGATCATCAGATATTGTCCAAGATTAACCTTCAGGGTGGATATAGCTCGCTAGCAGCCTCGCACCGAGGACCTATCCATGTCATCATTTACCCAGAATGATTTGTGTGTAAATAAAATGTCCCCGTCCGTGTAATATATTTTTAAACTTTTAGTTTAAAACTTATAAAAACTAAACATCCTACAGTATTTTTACAGTCTTTATTTTACAGTTAAAATATATGTTTATCAAATAAAGTCTAATGTTACAACTAATAGAAGAAAAAAAGGAAAGTTTCATAAAATATGTGGTTCAACCTGTAGTTTGGACCACTGAATCCTTCCCACACATCGGGCAGCGTTCCTCCAGGCGTGTTTGGCTCCATAAATCAGTTCGGTGTCTCTCAGCTGATAAGTTCCCGAAGCTTCAATCTCCTTAGTTACCTCCTCCAGCCTGTCCACATGAGCCTTGGAGCCATTCCTGCGAGGCGGCACAAGTTCATGGACACAATGGAGCAGCTGACAACTCGGAGCAGAACTCCACATATCAACAGCTGTGTGGATATGTGGGGTTGTCACATTAATATCAAGAAAACATCTGTCTGAAAGGGAGAAAGTAGACTTGCTGACACATTGAGGCCATGCGCTCCTATGTGTGTGTGCTGCTCACAAAAAGACAAACCAGTTGTAAACTTGGTAAACTTAAAAAGAGATTCTTTAATAAACAAATCAAGAATTTGAGCACCGATTATAACCCGTCATGTCCGGTATCGCAGATCGAGCTCACCTTTTAATGTTGGTGTAGTACTGGTCTATGAAGTCTGTAGCCAGAGACAGGAGCTCCTCTTTGCCTCGAACCTCGTCTGGTTTGCGAAGGCTGGGGACCACGACTGAGCCGATGCAGACGTTTTCACCGCAAAGTGCTGTCTGAAAAGACAACAACACACGAAGGAAAATATACTCTGATTATTAGAGATAATAACAAGCTTTATGCTATTTTTTTAGTGTCACTCATCATAAACATGCCCAGTGTTGCTTTGATTCATTCATGAATGTTGGGAGCCATGTGGAGCTGCCTAAATGCTTGCTGGTACATAGCTCTGCCTATTTGTACATAGCTCCTCCCTAGAGCTCAGTCTGCAGGAGAGAACCGCTCCTCCGAAGCATTGTCATAAAGACGTGCTGAAGTGGGAGTGTTGGAAATGGTAGGAGGTTTTCAAAGAGACAGAGGCCAATTTCAACCAGCTGTGATGCAAAGTCAATTTTATTTCTGATATATACGGTGTTTTCACAACAACTGAAGGCAACAAAGTTACTTGGTTGCGGTAAAGAATTGAACTATGTGCCTGGAAAATAAATAATACTCAGAGTTCTTGGGTTTGACTTAGAATCAGCTTTGAACAGGTTTTCCTAAAACCCTTAGAATATTTAAGTGTATCTACAACTGATTTACATTTAGAGCCAGCCCACTTCAAGATGGCTACCACAGCTAATCCAAACAGGAAACACAAAAATAGTTTTAACTCAGACATGTCTACAGAAACGATTTAGTGTAGCTGAGAAGACGTTTACAGAAGATTTCACTTTCTATGATTATTTTATCTTAAAATGTTTTTCTTGTTCACCTGCTTAATTGTCCAAACCTCTACAATGGTTGAACTACCATATTTATTTATGTATAATACGATCTCATGTATAA